GGGGGGGGGTGGAGGTATCTAGTAGACGGCCACCTTTGCCTCCTATGAAGGAAGGAACAGTTGCCGCCATGCCTTCTCTGGGATTCGAACCCAGGCTCTTCGATACCTCAATACGTTCCCCTAACCCTAATATCGTCTGGGCGTCTGATTTTTTTTTTTTTTTTTACAAAAATATCAAATGATAATTTTAAATACTTAAGAGTATCTTAATCAATTGTTTAAAGGAAAATTCTCAAGTTTATTAAGCGTAATAAACCTTAATATGAACCATAAATGAAATATGGTTGATAATTTTTATACAATAATCTATATACAATAATATACAAAGCAGTATATTATTGCGAGAAAATAATATTGGATTTTGATACCCCAGATTTTGAATTTACTTAAAATCTACATCAACTTAAGGCTTTTGTTGCCTAATGGATAAGGCGTTGCCTTCCAGAGTCAAAGATTTTTGGATTTAAGTGTCACCAGGGATGGTGTTGGTTGGTGTTTTTAAAAACGTATTTACAGAAAAATCTATCGCTAGTTTCAGAGTAACACAAATACATTGCTGGTAACCCAAATTGTAACACCAAGAAAGACAAGAGATATCACAACAAAATTTATTTAGTAGATAACAGGTGGACAAGTATAAATGAGTAAATTATAGACGTGAAGTGTGGTTCTTCCAGAATCAGGCCCACAAAGCGGCCGGCGGTAAAGACTTGAACCCCGTCGTTCGGTCCGAGGTTCGATCGCGAAGGCTGGTGCATGGGCGTTTGGTTTTTCCCAGGGGTACGTGTACGAGCAATTTCCTTAGAAAGTCCTCCAGAGCATCCCCTTAGGAGCTAGCTTCGTGGTTGCATATTAAATATCAACAATCTCAGAATCGTAGCCAGAGTACCGCCATTTTGGAGATCACCGAGCACCAGCTCGCATTGATCAAAGCGACTTTGGATGTGTTCTTGGGGCACAGCAGACAAGCAGCTCCACACGTTGCCAAAGTTGATGGAGTGGCAGCTTCGGATGCGTCGGTCATCGTCATCAACATGACCACATGTGTTGTCGGCGAAAGATCCGGAGTGAGCGAGCTGCCAGGGAAGCAATTCAATCTGGGATTGATGAGAACCCTGGGACAATGCGTGCCATGTAGCGCTTATCTTGTGGGAAATATGGGCTGTGGGCAGTCCTGCAGGTAAGGAAGGACATGGACGTGTCTTTTATTTAGGATTGACCATAGCCTCCAACACCTCGAAATGTAACTGCTGTTTTTAAAGTACCGGCATGTTATTAGAGCGTGCGAGAGGATATCCAATACGCTCCATACCATATACCCGGGTTTGGAGGAGCAGTGTGGCGGTGCATAAAGCAGCTGTTATCCTCTCACCACGGCTTCTCGACTCGAAGCCGCCATCGTGGGCTGGCAGGACAGAAGGTGCTCGCAGTAAAGCAATTTCTTTCGTTTACCGTACACATTCTCTTTCATCGACCATCGAGGGCGGAGAGTCTGTGGTTCTGCGCAAGGGTCGACGAGCAATGGACGTCTTGCGGACCGACCACTTGCTGTACACGGCGCGAATAGGTCGCTAGATCTGGATGATGTGTTACAGACGATGTATGTGCCTGTGGTTAGTGATGTGACGAGCGATCCGTCACTGCCATGCGCACAATGGTGCTGTATACGTGAAGTGGTTGCACTGAGGTGGATGCGCTCGAACACGTCGGTCCGTCGTACCCGCCTGCATCCAACGGTCACAATCCGCATTACAATTGTTTTGGTTTCGCAAAACGACTACCGATTACTTGAAAAATAATCCGTCTTCGGTAGGGCCTTCTGTTTCCCTGTCGAACTCGGATACTGACAAACATGATCATGTTTACTACGAGGCATAATTGATCATTTTTTTGAAAAACCCACAAGGAAAAACTCAATGCGAACTCAAAATCGTCGAAAACTCAAGCCTAATAGCGCTTGAAGTGGCGCCACAGGTGCGCTGATGTGTGATGCCTGAAATTCTATCATTTGATTACCTCCCCTAATGCTGTTGTAAATTTCATGTTATTGCATCTTCCTTCAGGGTGTGGTTTATTTACATTCATGAGTGGAGTCGAAAACAAGATTTCCACGCGAGACACTGAGATAAAATTTTAGATGGTACAGTCGGTGTGTAGGTTCGGGGACTGTTTCAGCTTTGATGATGGTGCGAATGAATACACGTAATTTTTACTGCCGCGATTTTTTTTTTTTTTTTTTTTTGTGTGTGTGTGTGTGTGTTTGTGTGTGTGCGTGCCCGCGCGTGCGCAAGAAGTTTGCATTTATTTTTCATTACTATAAACGTCATTTTCGCCTTCTAAGCGGCACTATGTGCATTATCCTTCTTACAACAACGAGCCTTTGGCACCATTCATAAGATGATTTGACTGTTCTGATCTGATTCGGTTGACGTCAGACTAACAAAAGCGACAAGGTATTAAAGTTGCTGTTTTAACTAATTTAAAAAAAATTAGTGAGTTCTTAGTTTCAAACAACTGGTGACGAGTAAACCATTTGTTAAAAAAAAGCTAAGAAAACTATTATTTATACAGAGAGCAAGCTTGCCAGTATGTGACATTTAAATTGAAACAAAATTCAACATTAGATATAAGAGGATTTTATGGAATACTTCTGGACATTTTAATGGCTTTGTTTGTTTTCCACATGTTTAATGGCTTTTTGTTTTTTTGCATGACCACTTTTCAGACAAATTATATAGGAACTTTGGCAGAGGTTTAATCTTGATGATAATTTTTCATTAATTTAAAGCGCACTTGAATAAGCGTTAATAAATTTACTAATTGTGGAATTCAGTTTTTAAAACCGAAAAAGAAATATTATATAAACTGCAGTTACTTCAATGAGTTTTAGAGAAAAGTGATTTTATAAAATGACACGTTAGACTATATGGCTCTTCATTAATATATGAATGACTAACTGAAGCAATTAGTTACATTTAAGGTAAAAAATACTTACATAAGGCAGAATGTTTTAAAACACTTTTTGTTAAATTTCTGTTTATTAAATTGTTTTAGGTAACTACTTCATTTATGCAAGTGTGATATTTAGTTTGGTATTCCTATAAATCCTACATACATTTAAACAAAATATAATTTTTATTACATTAATTAAACCAATTGCATTGAGGGAAGTCATACATTATGCAAAAACTTTTATGGTGTTCTAACCCATGAAAAATTCACTCTCTAAAATCGAAATATGCAAATTAAGAATTTTTAATTATCGTTCAACAAAATTCCTAAATAAAGTAAATTACATCGCCCAGATTGTATAGTAGTTAGGGGTGCCTATGTGATACCGAAAGTTCTGGGTTCGAATCTCGGAGAAGGCATGGATGTAAATTATCTATCTCGTTATAGGAGGTAACTTTGGCCGCCTGTTAGATGCCTTCGTAATAAAATGACCACCACTTCTGGCCTTAGCAGTGGCGAAAGCCTAAAAATGGCTAGTGCCCGCTAATTTAAAAAAAAGGGGGGAGAACTAGATAAATACAATGATTCTTTTCTGGGGTATCCTATTCCTATCTCCCAAATGATTCTTTTATGAGATATTTTGACAAAAATTAGTGGCCTGCATTTGGAAAATTCATGAAATTGATGAGGCGTTATGCGAAAGTAATTAAAAGAAATTTCGATGTCATTCAAGAGCATTTCTTCAATTAAATTACTTTTGTTTCCTTGCTACAGTCATCTCTCACATATTACATACAAACCTCTCTTTTTTTGCTTCTCCTACGTAAGACAAGAAGTAAAATAAGTTTTAATCTAGCAGAAATGGGATCCATTTTAATTAAAAAAAGTATAACCATAAAAAGCCAAAATATGGCTCAAGAATTCCCGTTTTTCCCCAAATTTCCGCTATAAAGAGCCATCCAGTGTGCACATTATAAGAACTTTTTTGAAGGAAGCGTTTCCCGCCTAGATGTGAATTGGACGTCCCCGGAAAGCGGTTTTTTCCGCATTTCGCTTTTCCCACCGACTGACCGATGTGAACGCAGCTTTAATTAAGAATCACGCTGGAGATAAAGTATGTATTAATTTTTAGCGGTAAGAGGGTATCATGTGAAGAAAGGTGATCACATTGAGCATTCGTAAAATAATGATAACAAAACTTAATGAGTTTACCTCCTTCAGTAAAATAAAATTCTGTATCTCTTGTATAGTTTGTTATAAATTTTAAGTGTTTCGCCGAATTATCAGTAATTCTGTATATTTTTCTAAAAATATAAATTATCCAGATTTAATTTTTATAGAATGACACTATATGGGGCTCAGTATTTAATTTCCGTAGTATCAAATTACCTAAAGCAGTGTGTATCAATATTTTTACCCTTTGCAGAGCTTTTTGAATAATATTTTAAAGAAATCTCTGGTATTTTCTTGCCAAATACTAAGGTTCTGTAGAATCCGATTAAGCAATGCACATCTATTGTGTTTCATTGAAAGTGACTATATCGTCAAGTGTTTCATGATCGAAAACCTATGACTATCACTGCAGTTAGAAAAAATGTTGCCTTTCAGAATCGACATTTCTTTAATAAGTATGAATTTCATTTGAATTTCAGGTTCATTGAAGAAGCTATTGAAAAACTATCCCGTCAACACATTCGCCATATCCAGGCATATGATCCAAAACAAGGTAAAGACAACGAGAGGAGACTTACAGGACAACATGAAACATCCAGTATTCATGATTTCTCAGCCGGTGTTGCCAACAGAGGTGCCAGTATTCGGATACCTCGCCAAGTGGCAGAAAAGAAGATGGGTTATTTGGAAGACAGAAGGCCATCTTCAAACTGCGACCCATATGCTGTTGCTGATGTCATGATTCGAACCATCTGTTTGAATGAGTAGAGTTTTAATTAATTACGAAATAAACTGGGAATTCCACAATTTTTGTATAACTCCAGTATACATTCGTGTAACATGTATTTTCATGTTCCTAAAATTTAACTGTTGAAAAGAGCGGTTTTAAAATTTTCCACTGCCAGTTTTAGTCTGAAAAAAATTCTGTGCGAGTATTTTTACTAAAAGCATTTTGAGGGCTAAAATTTGGAGGAAAAAAAAAAAAAAATTTTTAATTTATTAAGAAAAATTTTAAGTAAATATATATATTTTTGTGCTTACATATAATATCATAAAACTTGCTTTGTGAAAGTAAGATGCAATTTATTTTCGATCTAATTTTATATGAAAAGCATTAATATTGAAACAACCGCATTTAACAAATGTGTATAGTGCCTTAGAAATATCAGATTATATTATTATATTTGTGAAATATGTATTCTCAGCTGTATATTAAATGTTAATTTTGTGATAAATTTTGATTTCTTTAATTGCTTCATAAATTTAGCAAACACTAAAATCCCATTTCATGTTATATCTGCTCTGGCTGCTTTTTATATTTTGTTTCACATATTCTTTACAATCATAATATTTGAACACTTTAGGAATAATATACGGTAATATGCAGGATGCAAAAATATTGGTTATAGGCTTTTTTTTCCTTAAAATGTTGTTTCTAAATGTTCAACTTGTGGACAAGGTAATATCATGTAGATAAATCATAAAGGTTCTCAAAACAAGTTTATTAAAATAATTCTGACTTTGGAAATGGTAGGGATCTGTAATGTAAAACTTGAACAATTTTTATACTTTTTATAATCTTCGTAGAATGAATGACAAGTTCAGTTTGTGATTTTTTTTTTTTTCTATTGACAAGGAATTCGAAAACGAATTACTTCCAACGTTGCCAAGTCATTTCGGCAAGATCGGATATAGAGAACAATTTCAAAATAAAAATTCCTTGTGTTGCCATTCCTTTGCGTGAACCTTACAAAGAATTTTGTTCATTGATATCCAAAATTAGAAGATAATTAAGTGAAATTACATTAAAATAAAACTAAAAATTTGTTGCGGGATAAAAAATCCAATATAAGTTGTACATAAACAATTTAATTAAGTATTACCTTGTTTACAAATTCAACGATGCCTAAAATACTGTTGAGAATGCTAAATTGTGCCCAAAAATTAAAAAAAAAAAGGGGGGGGGAAGTTGAGCCCTCTGTTTTTAAAAATATTTAACAGGGTACAGATAGAGGTGGACAGCAGAAATCAGCATTGGTCATATAGTTCCGCCCCTCTGTGCAGTTCCGCTCCAGTTTTGAGGCAGAAGCGGTCCGAAAGTCTGTCACCCATCTTTCCTTGTCACTAGTCTCTCGAGAAGACCTTTCAACTCAGCTTTTATTTTGAGTGTGTCCTTGCCTAACAGACACTATACACTTATGGCCACCTATGCCTTCTCAGGGATTCGAACCTGGGGCCATCGGTACGGTAGTCAACGTCTCTAATCACTATTCCAGATGGGCGGCTATTGACAGGGTATGTGATCTGTAGCAGAAAAGAATCAATTATGGCCTGTAAAATTAAATCCCGTTCTTCAAAGAAACGCAGGTCTAACCTGCTTCACAATGAAGCCTACAACGCCCTTACATGATGGACGCATAGCATCATCTATCTAACCCTTCTCGGTTACAGAACCTTTGTCATGGATATAAAGCTTAGTGTATCTGTTTCTCGTGATTCCTTTGAAAATCAAACAGCATAGAAAAAGCATCTTCTGTGGACTGGAAAATTGCGTGTTTCAAACTCTGTCTGGATGAAGATATGTCCATAGTCACTATATAAAGTGAACGCAGATTCGGCCGTGGGCCAATCATTTGGTTGAGTTGATGACGAAGATACAATCTTAAAATTGCTGTTCTTTGTTAATGCAGGAAGTGAGACGCATCACAATAGCCTTTTTGTGTGAAAATTATGCTTGCGAAGTCTTCTCTAAGAAGATCTGTTTGAGTATAAGCGACTACTGAAAGGTTCCAAGCCAACTGCCTAGAGTTGCTTGGTTATTTCTTTGTGCCAGCAATAGCAAATAACGGTTTTCAAATGCAGCATTTACCCATAGATGATAAGCTGTGATCACTTAGAAAATTAATTGATATCATGCTTTAAAAGCGATTTCAGATTCTTGATCACATTTTTAATGTTCTTTTTTCTGTAAATGTCCAACTGTGTTGGAGGCACATTGAATCTATCAGCCATTTTTTTATCATAACTTAATGTCATATAAATGATGTCTTAAAGGCATGACTGGCATCATCTGATCATTTTCAGACAGAAACGTTATTTTTAACTCGGATGTGTGCATGAATCGAACATGATATTGTGTTTGCATGAGGCTTAGCTAGGTTTTTCAGCACCTGGGAACAACTGAATATTTCGCGCTCTTCGTGTTTGCCAAAATGGATGCTGCTCTCGGGCAGATATCTCTCTTGCTCTCCCCTCCAGCTACGCCACTGGTGTTTGTTTGCCTTATTTCCATATTCTGAGCTCAAATAATTGCATAGTAATAGATTTTTATATTCAGTAGTATATGACTCAAGCTCAAACAACTGATGACAGACTGGATAAAAAAAATCTTCCATTACGTGATTGGATTTACAGCTGTGCAATTATTCTTTAGCGACTGTACCGAGCAGTAAAGAATTTATGGATATAAAATTCGCTTTAAAAGATATTAATTTATAGCCGGAATTAAATATAATAATAGTATTATATCAGAAGTTATGGGTGGTTAGCTATCGCAAAGTATTTGAGGACTACTTGCCTTTCTGAATTCTATCAGATTTTCATGTAAAATCTTCCAAAAAATGTTTTGAGCCCGTTTAGTCGTCGCAAACAGAACCCTTGCCATCTCGCGGAGTTAGCCACTGAGGGCAGATATATCAACACTGAAGAAGTTTGTTATGTAGCGTCACTCATAGTTCTTTTTACTTATAGAATTATTGAAAACTGGTTTTATAAGTCGCGTTATTCAAATCGAAGTGGATTCAGAGTTTTCCATTCGTATCACGTGCCAACCAACTTCATTTAAAATATGAGTACTGTATGTAAATCCTCCCTTGCTCGATTTGTTTCAGGAATTCGTTATCTCCAAAAATGTTAAGCGTGAATAAAATGTGCTTACGTGATGTGTCCGTTTTCCTATTAAAAATAAGCTTTCTTCTTTTACTCTTGAAGCTCGACTTCCCTTTAGCACCTTACGCTCCGACTCAAATACAATATTATTTACAAATTAAATCGCGAGGACGCATTTCCTCCGTTTCGGGGGGAACGTCAGTCCAAAACTTCCTTACACTAAGAATACTTATGAATCCTTTAGAATGTATTTAATGACAAAGTTACTCGGGAAATTTTATTTGGATTATTTTAATCAGGATTTTCCGTTACAGTGGTTCAAAAGATCAGCTAAGAGATCAATATTACCAAGTTTCATCTTCTTGAGCATATTGTTTCTACCGCTGTGATATTTTCTGCAGTGAATAATTGCATGCTTTGCACTGTCTATCACATAGCATAAATCACAGAATGGCAAATTCTCTCTACAATGTCTGTCCAGTAGTTGGTTCGTATCCAATAGTTGCAATCTTTATTTTGCTAATTATTACTTCCATTCTTCTAAAAAAATCAATGCTTAAACCTTTACTCCACTCTTTGTAAACATTACAATAGCTAAATCTGCGGCTGGTATAGGAAGTACTTCAGCAGTCGACTTGCTCATCCTTAATAGCCTTTGCGATGAAACTGTACGCATCTTCTGCTGAAATATTCCCCCCGTAGTTATTCATATTTCTCCTTCTCGCCTTTTTATCCGCTCTTTCAATGAACCCTATATTTTATGGCTATGAACCCAGGTGACAGTGAGGTGATGGAAGAGTTTTTTCCGCTCAAAGAGCTTACGAATGAGAGTTGGATCACCTATGAACACTACTCATAGCGCTGACTACTGACTTCCTATCCGTAAGAATAGCAACCTTTTCATCAGGATTCAGGTTCTCGAGAAGCTTACAGAGGGCCCAAGCCTTAGCAGAGGTGATTGAGATTCTGTGATCAATGCATTGGCTGACTATCACCGCATACTGCCTACAGCCGCAATACCAACTCCTGTATGAGACTTGGAAGCGTTATATTCTTGATTCACATTTATATCCTTGATTCACATAATCATTAATCATGATACGGAAATATTGCTGTATCTTCGCTTATAATAGATTTTTGTTCTGAAACTCGTACTCATTCATTTTAAAATGGGACTTTACATCTTCAGAGAAATCTATCTATAAGAGTAATATAATTAATATAATTATTAAACTCTAGATAAAAATTACTAAGCTTGTCTTTAACACATTGGCTAACAGGTTTGCGTATCGTTCCCCACCTATACTTACAACTTTGCAGCCAATTTTTCAAACTATCCACGATAGGAGAGGCTTCTGAAAAAGCAATATTCTTTATCAAGGATTTAATAGCAGCGATGAATCTTCTCGTATCTAAAGTGAAAACCCCTGCTTCGACATACAACAACAGAAGAGGGGTGTGATAGGCGCCCTGATGGCCACCCTTAAAGCACGATTATAGACAATTTGAAATTTTTTTCTTGTTACGTTGAGAGGTAAACATGAAGAGAGAACTACCGTATTCTAGTCTTCCTCCCTTATAGTAGCATTTGCTATGTTAACTATATCCACTTTACTTACACCCTACTAAGGTCTCGCGATGAATTTACATGCATTCAGCATTCTTTCCAGTTTCGGAACAATTTTATTTACATGGACGTTCCAACTCAGTTTACCTTCGAATCATATTCCTAATATTTTAACATAATCTTCCATAGGAACGCTAAAACCGTTAAGCTTCAGAAGATTCTCTTCGCTGCTGTTTGTCCCACCAAAAATAATCAATTTACTTTTCTCTGGAGAAATACGTATGTTCCACTCATTAGTCCACCTATGCACTTTAAACAGCGCTCGCTGCAAATTGCTAACTACCTACCTTAGGCTACATCTGCACTATACAGAAAGATGTCGTCCGCATACACGTAACAATCGAACATCAGTCGGTACAATCTCATAGATGTCATGCATGAAAGTGGTGAAGAGAATTGGGTTCAAAATGCAGCCTTGGGGGACCCCGCTGGTTAATTCGTAGCTTCTTGAAAGTACCCTTCTCCTCTTTACT